TGGTCACGCATCGCTTCGCTCATCATGCAGATAATGCTTGACCTACTAATGAAGATTTGCTCTAATAGGCACCGTGAGACCAGGCAAAGTCAGCTCGATCTCGTCAGTCTAGCAGGATGCACCTGCAGGGCTCACCATTGATTGTAGCGGACATGAGGATGACCTTGATTGTCTTGTTCCTCTCCAGTAGGTCTCTTAACAAGCAGATCAGGAGATCCGTATCCACCCCTCTCTCATGCGCCTCATCGACCACAACATGACTGACATTGTTAAGATCGGCATCGCCGCTTCCCAATCTCCTCAGAACTACACCGGTCGTGCAGAACAGCAGCCTTGTATCGGGTGATGCCTTTCGCTCGCCACGAATGGCGTAACCGACTGTCTGAGGGGATTTGTCCACGTCTTCGAGTCGCTCTTGAGCCACTCGAGCTGCGACTCCCATCGCTGCGACTCGTCGCGGTTGGGTCACTATGATGTTGGCAAGGGCTCCGCGTCCGGCTTCAATCTCACGATCTAAGAGGAATTGAGGAAGTTGTGTACTGCAGCATGACAAGATATTGCTTAGCTCAGTCCGTAGATCCCTGGGTCCGATGCGATCGATCATGGACACTCACCTTTTACCACAACCTGTCTCTCCGACAACAACCAGGACTCTATTCGATTCCAAAGCTTGAGTGATCCGTTCTCTTTCTTTCCACGCCGGCAGCTTCATACGGTCGGCCATCATGGGTCCATATGCAGGATCATCCAGCATGCTCTTCTGCTTTTTCCTCACTGCCTCCTCTTCCTCTGCCGTTGGAGGTCTTCTCTTGATACCCTCCCTGTTCGCTTTCAGTTTACGTTTCGTTTGAGCCTTCTGTGCTGTGGGTATCACGTCGTCTACTTTAGGTACAAGATATCTGGTGACCTCGCCTACGTCTGGCGGAGACTCCACTATGAGCGGTAAGGTCGTCTCGAGATATTCGACCATACTCAAGATAGCCCCGCCTGATCCAGCTTCAAGGACAGAGGTAAGATCGTGCCGTTCCGTATCTCTGAACTGTCTCAGCAGTTGAGCATGGAGGTGAAGCCGCATATAAGCTGGTAAGGTATCTGAGGCGATGAAGAACGATGGAGGATGGCAAGGGTATTGGGGTGAAGGATAGGGTGACGACTGGTCGAATATTATGTGCATGGTGATGCTGTCCGGAGTTGAATCAGACGGGATGTCGATAGTCAGCTCGGTGGGCGAAAGCTGTTGGTAACGTTCTCCCAAGACCGCTTCGACAGTCATAATCTCCTCCTCCCGAGTGACTCGCCGCTCTTCATTGGCTACTTCATCTCCTGTCCATCCTTCGCCATACTCCTCTGCTCCCCAGCCATCCTCGTCCTTCTCCCAGCCACACAATCTCCTCCCTAGTATGTCTATCGCGGACGATTCCCTCTGTTCGGATTTGAGCACTGTCTCCACAGCTTTTCTGGGGAATCCAGCTTGCTTAACAAGCTTATCAACAAGCCATCCCTTCACGAGAGCGTTCTGACCGCCATTGGTATTTGATGCGCTTGTAATGAAATCTGCTGAAGATGATGAAGGTCGATATCTGGGCGGTAGGTCGTCTTCAGGTAGATGCAATAATAGCCATTCAATTGCAGCTTCCAAGGGAGACAGTATGCTGAGTGACAGTACGAGAGGATCATTAGTCGATGTCGAGGAGGAATGGAGCCTAGCGGTTGCAGCTGAGAGCGCTGACAGGGCTGAAGTGATATGGCTTAGCCTGAAACCGAGGTTGGTAAGAGAGCCCTTGAGGGAGACCAGATCTAACGCTGGCGTAGACATCCCTGAAGGCGCAGTGGACGCCGTTGCGGTAGCGTCCCGGCTAGCCTCGAGTACAGCGGAGGGAAACTGCTGCATCATCTGCGGATACTCATTTGGACGATATCAGAATCGCTTCTTGCCGAGCGAGGTGAAAGGAGGTGCCGAGTGATGTGGAGGTGAAATTGGGACGTACCTTCCTGACTGTACCTTCTACCATCTCCCTCAAGCTTGAAGCCATCTTGACCTCAGGTGCTCTCTCCCACTCATGTCCACCGCCTCCCTTGTTAGCCTCCTTAGCCGGCGTTCCCCTTGCACTCTTCCCACCGCTTCCGCTAGCCCCAAACCCATCTTCTTCCGCTTCTTTCGCAGCGGCATCTTTGTCCTTCTTCTTAGTCTGGCGATCTTCAACCTCCTTCTTAGCTGCGAACGGGTCCGGGTTGTACTCCCATGCTCTATGGGGCGGCGATGCCGCTTTTTCGGCGGTCAAAGTAGACCAGTAAGGTCTGATTGACGGTGGGAGTGTCATTGCCATCGGGAGGTGCGAGCAGAACTGGGCATATACGGACCACGCAAACATCAGTCAGCTCGCAGGATATATCAGGCATGGTCAAGCAATGCTGCATCGATAGTGTCCAGAAGCGCTGCAATCCACTCACACGAAACAAAGCATACGTAGCTGCATAATGCTTAGCCTCGGCAGCAGTGGCGATCTCCAATGGTGGATGAGGCTGTAACCGTACCTCGTCGAGATTGTAGATGTTCTTGCTGACCCTTTTCTTAAGGATCACGAAGCCCGTGAACGTCTGTGGGTCGGAACCCCGGTTCGGGCGCTAGATTGCAGAGGCCAGAGGCATTGTCAGCGTCATCGCATGGAGAGAACAGCTTGCTTTGTCACCATCACAGGGTTCCGTCCTGATATATTGATATGGTCGCCGTGCTGAGACTTGAAAGGGGATATTCAGACGCACCGACTCGACTGAAGGTCTCTCCCAGCCCGTTTTCTGGCATTTCTCATTCAGGATCGTCATTGGGCTCTTGTATCCAGGAGGGAACAGAGGAGGTGGTCTAGGGGGCGCATCAGGCTTCGAGGGATCACCGCTCTTGTTATTGTCCTTTTCTTTGGCATCTTTTGCGGGTTTGGTTGAATTGCCTGCGTTTCCTGATCGGACCACGTTGGCCGGCCGTTTCTTTGGCGCCATCCTGCTAAGGGACCTCAAGCACAGGTAGAAGCGGTGCGAGCCAAGCGCAATACGAATGAACAGCTGAGGTCGAAGTGTATGACCGATAGACAAGCTGAACAGTGGAAGCACAAAAGGCGATCAAATGCAGAAGTTGAGGTACACAGTTGTCTGAATTTTGGTCACCTCCACTCTGTCGATCTCCTGCAATCCGTCTCTCGAAGCTGGTCGACAATATGGCGCAACAGCAAAGCTGCTGTCCCGAACGCGCAGTATGCGGGCCTGCGCAAATCTGTTGTAAGATGTTTTCGGCCTCATCTTAGAAATCGATTCCCTCACTGATGAAAAGATAGGCGGACATCGCTCAGATCTGTGCAAGAGGCAAAAGCATGTCGATCTACACTGGCTGCACGTAGATTGGATCCCTCAGATATGATACCCCTGACATCGATCAAATCTCGCGCGAAGCATCTGTGCATTGGCATGGACACTGACCGCGCTATCTCTGTCCCCGAACCTCCCGCTGTTGCACCCTCTTGTCACCTTTCTCCATTCTTGCCCGTAGCTTGGCCTGCCTTTTCGATTCTCCCTTCTCCCCATCAACCCCAGCACCTGCTCCAGCTGGTGCCTGCGCGCCGGCCTGAGTCGGATCTCGAGGTGCCTTGGGGCCAAAGAGTCCTGGGAGGAACATGCCCAAGATAGGGCGGATGGTGGAGAAGAGCTTGTATGCGCCGAACCCGGGAACCTAGAAGAAGGAAGAAGAGGAGAACGAATGTTGGTTTTCTGTATGTTGCATGGTTGACTCGGAGCACTTGGGTACCGGGCAGGAGTGATCCTGATTCTTCGAAATTGACTTACGAGTAGGAGAAGCCACCACACCCAGTCTCCGAAGATGGCTGAGCCTAGCACGCAGATCCAGGTAATGTAGATGCTGTTATGATAAAATGTACGATGAGTCAGCTGTCTCCTCAGCGCGGAGATGGATAATCCAGTCATCAGCACACCAATTGCCGCTTCGCGGTCAGTTATATCCGTTGCGGATGCACAGCGAACACAGCGATCGTCCGCAAGCGCAATATCAGGGAATAGGGAATGGAAAAACTCACATATCCCAACCAAGCTCGACGACCCCTTTTCCACCCAGATCCTCGTCCACGCGCACATTTGCACCAGATCCTCTAGGTCGTCCGATAGACTCGAACCATCTCCACGTGAATATCGAAACTCCCGTCGAAGCGAGGTATAGGAAGATGATGACTGGACGGGGGATGAATTTGCGTGAGGTGATGAGGGAAAGGAGGAATCGAATGACCGGCGCGAGGAGCTATGTGGCGAGCAAGAGAGGAAGCTCAGGTCAGCGAGCTACAAGCATCTAGTGGGAGGATACTTGGATCAAGGGATGCACTGGGGCGGTATGCGTGGGCATGGACGACGTAGCATATGCCAAGGCACTCACGTTGACAACTAGGAACCCAAGCTGGACGTTCTTCAGTGCGGCCTCGTTGGCCGAAGCAATCCTTTTTGAAGATGCATTAGCCTGTCAGGTGTGGTCAGCATGGGCGAGCATATAGTAGCCACGATGGTTGAGAACGGTAACGCTCGTGGCAAGGTTCGCCTTGCTATCGCGATAGGTCGCACGACCCAAGCTACGAGAGCGAGGGGACCGGGAGTCGAGCTGCATGCGAGAACAGGGACAAGTAACTCACCATAGTGATAAGGCGATGGGATTACTTATCTATCTAAACTCTGTCTGTATCTATTGTCCCTTAACCGGGATAGACGATCTTGGTCAAGTCTCTCTCAAGCGCTCGAACAACAAAGAAAACGCGAAAGTCCGTGCGCTTGATTGTACGATTTCGGCAAGGGGTGTGTATGGGGCGTGTGTGTAGTCTTGTGTATCTGTCTGTGTATCTGTGTATGAACACGTATGAACACAGAATCCAGGGGAAAACTCGTTGAAAATTGCCGCGATAGGCAATTGCCAACAGATCGAGGAATGGATCCGTGCGGCAGGGAGGCAAAATGTTGTCGGGATGGCGGAGTGGTCTAACGCGGTGGCCTTAAGCTTTACGTAATCAAAACGTAGCTTATATCCACTCCTTCGGGGCGTGGGTTCGAACCCCACTCCCGACATTTTTTGGCTCTTATCAGATAAGGGGTGTCTTGCATTCCATGCATGCTTATTGGATGCGGATTGATTGGGTCACGATTGGTTCACTTATACGTGTGCTGGCTGGATTGGTAGGATCCTCTGTCTCAGAGCCTCGATCGATCCGTGCGATAAACACAAAAAATTACCAACCAGTAATTCGCTTGGGGGTGGAGGTCGTCCAACCGCTTACAAGCTTTTTGTTGTTCGTTGGTCCTCTGTAGTTTTCAAGGTGCTACACGTTGCTCATCCACACTCTCATCTTGTACAGCCGATGATACACTCTGTAAATTCGTTCAAGGTGACCAGTACCCGACATGCGCTTCAACCCTGCATCGCTCAAGAGCAGCGCCTCCTCCTCGCGGTGGCTCGCCAGACAATCTCGCGACCCGTTCGTACGCCAGCGGCAGGCTCAGTCCCAGTCTCAGCAATCCGCTTCCAATTCCTCTGAGGGCGGTGCGTCCTACCGGGCGCGCTCATCGTTCAAACTCCTCTCGCTCGCCAAGAAACATCCAATAATCCTCTCTCCGAACCGGACTAAAACCGTCGTCGATCTCGGTGCAGCTCCAGGGGGCTGGTCGCAAGTAGCTTCGAATCTATTGAAATCCAATAAAGCTCGGATATGGGCTTTAGACATCTTATCGATGGAGAAGATACCCAATGTAGATGTGATCAGAGGCGACTTCTTAAGCGAGGAAGTGAGAGATGAATTGAGAGAGAGGATGGCGGAAGTAGGCGTGGAGAGACGGGGGGTGGATACGGTGCTCAGCGATATGATGGCGCCTATGACTGGTAATAGAACGAGGGATGTGGGATTAAGTTTGGAGTTATGCGCTGCCGCTACTGTGTTCGCGAGGGATGTTCTGAGAGTCGGAAGTAAAGATGATGAGGAAATCACGGTAAAGGGGAGAAAGGTATTCCCGGGCGGAAATCTAGTGTGAGTGAATTTGTTAAATCGCATCTATCTCGTTTCCCCATATCGAGCTCGTCAGCGAAGGCATCCCTTTCCGCCTCTTCGCCGTATCTCTATCTCTTGTCCTCGAACCCTAGGATGTCGCCTCACTGGCTCGCCAGCTAATATTTCTTTTCGCGACTACGCCACCTGTAGCATCAAATACTTCGCTCACCCGGATATGGACGAGTTCCGCAAGCTGGAGTTGGAACCATGGTTTGGCAAAGTGACGGTCGAGAAGCCGAAAGAGTCTAGGAGCGGTAAGCGCTGAAGTCTTTGAACATCCACCGCAGGATTCGAGCTTTGTCTTTCGCATCTGCCCCTGTAGCTGACAAGAAAATCCTATGTTACTCTACCTCATCTCCTGCAGAATCAAGCGAGGCTTACTGGGTCTGTCTCGGTTTCAAGGGCGATCCTGCGAACAGATGAAGTAGACCACCAATGTGAAGAGTGGCTCAGCGAATGAGCTTACATCGGCATGCAGGGATCTATCGATATATAATGCTACAGTATAGGTTCGAGGTCTGAGTATCATTCATCGCAATCACTCCGATGAGGCAGACGCCTTTCGACGATCACATAGTCGCTCGAACAAACCAGCGAAGTCCCGCCTCTCAGGGGAAGATATCAATACTATTGACTCCTCCAGATTCCTCGCTGCCATCTCAAACCCAAAAGGCAAACCCCCTTCAACAGATTCACCAGATCATCCGCACGAGACATATGACCAGTGTCATTGTGCTTATCCGCCAGTACCCCTTAGGTCCACCGCCTTTTCGGCGAAGCTGTGCTGCGCCTGAAGTGGCTTTTATGAGCTGCTCACCACGGCCTCATCAGCATGGCCATCCTCTCCCTACACACAGCAAGACTTGGCCTTAGCTCACCTGGCCAAATACAACACCATGTAGCGAGTCCTTAAAATGCGGCGATCCGGCACCGATCAGACTACCGGTGAAAGCAGGCATCGTCGCTATCTCCTTCCGACTCCCAGCATCCAAATACCTCGTGACATCCGCCAGATCTCCTCCCTGCCCCGCTAGAGTCGGATTGGCGTAGAAGGTCTCTGTAGGATCATACGGCGATAACCTGTAAAACGACATCGATTTCCTCCCTCCGCACGTAAGGCTCGACTCGCCTGAGCACGCGGTCGCACACGATGTAGAGGATGCGGTCGAGTAGGAAACGGCAATAGATCCGCAGAAACAACTGTTCCCATTCACTATGGTTCTCATCGCTCGTTAGTTCCATCATCCAGTCTCTGGACGCCCCCAGACTTGGTATCCTGAGCAACCGATTGAGGTGCAAGAAGAACCTGGACTCACACAATCCTGCAAAATGGTATTGCGAGGCAGCACAGGCGTTTACGCACAACGCAGGGGTCAACTCGTCCGACGTTGCGTCTAAGAAGAGCAATCAACATTGCGTATATCTTTTGATCACCTTCATGTCATCCGAATGGACGCAAGGAACGCTCGGACTTACAAGTGGTATTCAACGCCGGTATGCCATCACTATTTGGCACGCACCCATAATACTCCCACCCTGTCGGCAGGCCAGACGAAGAAGACGATGAAGACGATGAAGAAGATGAAGATGACGGGGAAGGAGAAACCGAAGACGATGGTAGCACAACTGTGTTGGAGGCATCCGCTGAGCGACTCGGAACGACCTGGGATGAGACCGCCTGCGATGCTGTCCCAGCTTTAGCCGCTTGTGATGAACTCGCTGCGGCCGGAGCTGATGATGCCGCGGGCGGAGGGCTCGAAGAGGATGAGGGAAGCGGTGCAGCCGGAGGTGGATCAGCGGAGGTGGCCTTTGGCGCTGTACTTTGCGCAGATGTGGGGGTAGGAGCGACACTGGTAGGTACAAGGGTAGTAGCAGCTGGTGCTTGGGTTGGTGTCGGTGTTGGCGAGGGCGTTGGCGTTTGAGTCGGAGCATCAGAAGTACTGGTGGTGGCCACTGCGGGTGCACTGGACGCGTCTGATGTGTCCTCCTCGTCACTTCCGCTCGCCCATGAGCTCCAAGGTGACCAGGATGAACCTTTCCAACCACCCAGTCCACCGCCGAAGAAGGCCATGGTCCCCTATCTTCTCTAGTCTGGTATCTTGTCCCAGGGGAAAGGAGGGGTATCGACGAGTGTTGAGGGAGGCTGAGGATGAACCTGTCTTCGTAGATCGAGTCACCTTGCGTGCTTTTGGGCGATTGGCGATGAATCTCTGTAGATGTGATGGTACATACAGTAAACAATCAGATGAACGATGAAATGTGATCAGATCGAGACAGCTGCGGATCAGATCAACAGGCGATCAACTATGGGGTCTGGATGAATATCCGATTGACACGTGACGAACTGCCGAAGAAGAACCGTGGCCGTGAGAACGATCAGGACGCAAGAAGCATAGTACGCGGGCAAGGGGCTTAAGAAAGGTCCAAAGGGGCTTTGGCTTTCCTTATCCCGCCTTCTATCCTTCCTGGATCAGCGTTTCGCGTTTTCAGGTCAGGCTAGGCCAGCCGTCTCAAGCTATTGCCCTTGCTTGTCTGTTCGGCCCTCACGCTCCATGCTCGAAGGATGCATATCGTTGTCAATCCCGCTTGGGCCTTTGTGTATACATTGCACTTCGCTTCGCTGGATCGAGACTGGGGTAAAACTTGGGACTCAAACCATACCAGTGATACTTGACCTAGTGGCAGAAAGGCCCAGGGTGGATTCTGTCTATTTTGCCTAGAGGGCTTCCTTCCGCTCGAACTCGGTGTTGCGTTTGCTCGTAGGAGACCGAAGGAGGGCGGGGCGAGTGGTGAAACGGAATAATCAGCTCGGTCAGGCAGCCACACAAACACACACACCCATGCACACCGACCGGAGCAAGGGTGTGATAGCCCTTCGGAATGAGAATGACTACTTCAGTAATACTGCTGTCGCTGACCGCAACGGGCTATCCGGCAGCGCTTCGCAGGAGTTAATAGTGTGTGCTAGTGTACGTGTTGCAGTTGTAGCACAGTGGCTTAAGCTTAAGCTGTATGCATAGGGGCAATCAGGAGAACGTGCATAAATATATACAATGTGGGGTCCGTGAATCAATGGGAACACACACGACATGCACGATACCCCCAATACACACCATATACAGCATATTCGACTTTATTTTGTATATCTTATCGGACGTACAGACCTTCGCAGCTATTTTCGTGATTACCTTTTGCAGACTAGACACCACCAAAGCCCGGCTTGATGCTGATGCATCCCTTGTCGCCATCACTGTTACCATCACTGTCACCATCAAGTATCATTCTCGCTGTCACGGTCACGGTCGTCTGACAAAGTGACAAATACGGCGTTGAGGTCAGATACTCCTCTGCACGAGTACATAAGACCTCGCTGAGCAAACAAATCTGAGTCAGTCCGATTTGCTCTGCATCTCGAGCTCGCTCAAGCCGGACGAGCACAACAGAACGTGTAGTACTTGCATGCACCGCGGAAGAAGGAGCATCGCGCTTTACCGCTCTCTTCACAATCACAGTTCTCGGATGCAAATTAGGTCCAAGGACGAGGAGTCAAGCCGAGCCGAATCGGCGCACAGAGTAGAGCAGAGCAAAGCGCACGAGACAAGCTTGCTAACAGTAAAAAAAAAGAGGAGTGCAAGCCATCATGATTACAGCATCATCATCGAGTACTCACTCTTGCCTGGTTTCGATTCTCAGGCCGAGTCTAATTCTCAGTTCTGCCGGCAATCGAGAACGACAAGTAACAAGCAACAAGCACCAAGGTTTAGCTGCTGCTCGGCGGCAGTCATTTACCCTTGGCGTTCTCGGTAAAATGACGTGAGTGAGTGAGTGAGTGAGAGAGAAAGAGATCTATCATATGTACAGATCTCTCTTGTCAGTTACCCTTAGCACCGCTTTTAGCGTGTTTTTTTTTTTTCGGTCACGCCTGCCGAACTTCAAGGCACTGACTGATTCGTTGCGTAGTGATCGAGTGCAGGCTGCAGCCATTCTTCTCTTCACACAAAAAAGCAAGAAGTTCCTATATCGGCG